AGGTGGGGTTGCAGCTATCTTCGACTCTACCCTACTAATCAGCTCTAAACCTAAACTAAATTATAACTCATTTGAAAGCCTTGTTCTTGGTCTTTCACACCCAAGTTGGAAATCACTTCAACCAATTCTCTTCGTTATAATGTACCGAGCATCTGGCCCGTACTCTGAATTCTTATCTGCATTTGCAGAGTTTTTGTCAACTTTAGTCCTTAAAACGGACAAAGTTATTATTGTAGGGGATTTTAATATTCATGTGGATGTTGAGAATGACAGCTTTAGTACTGCGTTTATCTCTCTGTTAGATTCCATTGGCTTCTATCAGAGTGTTCATGAACCGACTCACTGTTTTAACCACACCCTCGACCTTGTTTTGGTGTATGGTATTGAAATTGAACATTTAGTGGTGTTCCCACAGAATCCCTCTTTGTCCGACCACTGTTTGATAACTTTTGAGTTTGTATTGCTGAACTACTCGCCATTGGGCAAAAATTTCTATACAAGATGTCTGTCTGATAGTGCTGTAGCTAAATTTAAGGATGCGATCCCATGGCTCTGTTGAGCCAAGTATTCCCATAGCTCTCAGTAGTTACGATTTCATGAGCTTCTTTAATGATAAAATTCTAGCTATTAGAGACAAAATTCACCAAGACCTGCCCTCAACTGGCACCAACTTATCTCTTAACTCAGGAACCTTAGAAACAGCTGTAGAACCAGATATATGTTTAGACTGTTTTGCTTCCCTCAATCTTTACCAACTAACTTCAATAATTTCTTCATCTAAACCATCAACCTGCCTCTTAGACCCCATCCCGACTAGGTTGCTTAAAGATGTTTTACCCTTACCCAGCACTTCTATACTAGATATGATCAATCTATCTTTATCAACAGGCTATGTACCACAATACTTTAAAGTAGCTGTAATTAAACCTCTTCTGAAAAAGTCCAAACTTGATCCGGATGTTTTAGCCAACTATAGACCTATATCTAACCTTCCATTTCTCTCTAAAGTTCTGGAGAAAGCAGTTGCTAAACAGCTGTGTGACTTTGTACAGAGCAATAGTTTATTTGAGGATTTTCAGTCAGGATTTAGAGCTCATCATAGCACAGAGACAGCACTGGTGAAAATTACTAACGACCTCCTTATTGCATCAGACAAAGGACTTGTCTCCGTACTGGTTTTATTAGATCTTAGTGCTGCATTTGATACCATTGACCATCAGATCCTATTGCAGGGACTGGAACATTTCATTGGCATTAAAGGAACCGCTCTAAGCTGGTTTAAGTCCTATTTATCAGATCGATTTCAGTTTGTACATGTTAACGATGAGTCCTCCATGCACGCCAAAGTTAATCATGGAGTTCCTCAAGGATCTGTCCTCGGACCAATCCTCTTCACTTTATATATGCTTCCTTTAGGCAATATTATCAGGAAATATTCCATAAGCTTTCATTGTTATGCAGATGATACTCAGTTATATCTATCAATCAAACCAGATGAAACTCATCAGTTAGCTAAATTTCAAATGTGCCTTCAGGATGTTAAAACCTGGATGACCTGTAATTTTCTAATGTTAAACTCAGATAAAACTGAAGTTATTGTTCTGGGGCCTAAGCACCTCCGTGACGCATTATCTAAAGATATAGTTTCCCTTGATGGCATCGCCCTGGCCTCCAGCACCACTGTGAGGAATCTTGGAGTTATCTTTGATCAGGACATGTCGTTTAAGTCTCACATTAAGCAAATTTCAAGGACCGCCTTTTTTCACCTATGTAATATTGCCAAAATCAGGAACATCCTGTCTAAAAATGATGCAGAAAAACTAGTCCATGCATTTGTTACTTCTAGGCTGGATTACTGCAATTCCTTATTATCAGGCTGCTCGAAAAAGTCCGTTAAGACTCTTCAGCTGATCCAGAATGCTGCAGCACGTGTTCTGACAGGAACCAGGAAAAGAGATCATATTTCTCCTGTCTTAGCTTCTTTGCATTGGCTTCCAGTAAAATCCAGAATAGAATTTAAAATCATTCTTCCTACCTACAAAGCTCTTAATGGTCAGGCACCATCTTATCTTAAAGAGCTCATAGTACCTTACTACCCCACCAGAGCACTGCGCTCCCAGAATGGGTTACTTGTGGTTCCTAGAGTCTCCAAAAGTAGACTAGGAGCCAGGGCGTTCAGCTATCAAGCTCCTCTCCTGTGGAACCAGGTTCCAGTTTGGGTTCAGGAGGCAGACACCATCTCCACATTTAAGAGTAGGCTTAAGACTTTCCTCTTTGATAAAGCTTATAGTTAGGGCTGGCTCAGGTGAGTCCTGAACCATCCCTTAGTTATGCTGCTATAGGCCTAGACTGCCGGGGGATTTCCTATGATGCACTGAGCTCCTCTCTCCTCTACTTTCTCTCCCTCTGTATGCAACCTCATCCCATTATTGCATGTTACTAACACAACTTCTCCCCTTTCTGGTAGTCTTGTGCTTTCTCGTCCCTCTCCTCTCTCCTCCTATCATTTCCTGCAGGTTTTCTGGCTCTGGAGCTGTGGAGTCTGGATCTGTGGTTGCGGGTCACCTGCTGCCCCCGTGTTCCTGCTCGACACCCTCTGCTACAACGACTATTGTTACTAGTCCTATTGTTATTATTGTTATTATAATCATTATCATTATGACTGTTATCATTAACACTACTATAAATATCTGTACCATTTTTCATTTAGTCTATAGCAACATCACCTTCACTGTCTGTACCTCTGTGTGTGTATAGTGTGTAGGCTGCCTCCCTCCCCTCTCTCTCCTTCCATCCCTCTCTTTTCCTCTCCTGTCCTCTCTCTCTCTCACTCTCCCTCTCTCTCTCTTTTCCTTGCCTCTGTCTCCTAGTGCTGCTCTTGGTGGGAACTGTTGGGCTTCTGTAAATAGCATCATAGAGTATGATCTAGTAAGGTCCTGTTCTTTTAAGAAAAGCGCTGTGAGATAACTGTTGTTGTGATTTTAGCGCTATATAAATTGAATTGAATTGAACTATTAGCTCTGGTTTAATGCACACCACACCACAGCAGCTTCTGATATCATGAAGATCATCACAATTCCTTCACCTTCACCTTTACTGAGCATTGCAATGTTTTTGTTTTCTTTATCTAACCCAGTGCTTCAAGTGGAAAAAATTAGGTGCCAGTACTCTCCATTCACATGTTGATTATTCACATGTTCATTAAATTATTGGCAAGACAAATGCTCTACATGGTGGTCAGTACTAACTTGTCAAAAATCATAACCATCAATGCAGAACGAGTTCAACATTTCAAATGTTTACCGATTGCGGTCAACAGAGCAGCACTTTGTGCAGAAAAGTGTTGGGGACATAAGGGATACACTTGGGTCACGAGTCCAAGACGAGGCGTAATTTTAAGGACAAAGTTGATTCTGAAATATATGAGTGGGCGGTCTGGGGGGTCCTCCCCCAGGAGATTCTGAGCATTAAACTCTTAATTTTCTGCATTCTGGAAACATTTTCTGCACCAATTTATGGTGGAAATGTTTTATTAATCTAAAGGTAAACAAAATTCAGGTGGCAGGTGACAATTAAAATATAATGGAATATAATACAGTAATCAGCAGCTTGTTTTTACCTGAAGTTACTTTGTTTGGATGATGCACATTTTTAAAATTTTTCTTAGTGTGCAAATCAACCTTTCTAAAAAGCATTTTCATTTAACATTAACATTAACATTGTTCATTGCAAGCTATTTTTCAGAACATTCATAACAAATGCTTTCAAAAAGTGGTGGGTACATTCTGATGCTGACATGTTCCTAGCGTCCAAAGTGTAAATCACACCTGGCTGTCAACCTTTTATTATTGTCCCGCCCCATCCAGGCTGTGATTGGTCAGTTCACGAAAAGTGACATTGGCATGATAATTTCTGCATACGGCTGCATGAAAGGCACATGAACTTGTCCCAGCTCTGTCTCCGCTGACAGAGATTAGCAGGCAGACGAGAACAGGAACAGGTGAGCGTCACATAGTGCCCACACTGAAAAAAGTGAAACTTCTGTGCATTTTTATACTGGACTAAGGGAAAATCTGGATTTCTGGTTTAAACCTGTTTTGTTCAGTTTACCTTAAAGCAAATTAACGAACCCCCTAGAAAAAAGTAAACGCAGCACTTAAATAGTGTTTTTACTTCAAACCAGAGGTTTTCATGTCATGTGACCACATGACGTCACATCAGCTCGCTCCTTGCTCGCAAGTGTTTTGCTGTCCGCCATTACCTTGCTTCAAAAGTGAATAATGTGGAAAGACTGCTGTGGGCCAGGGAATGTCTTTTAGACAAGGTAAGCATTCGAAATTGTATTTTAAATGGGGATCACTCACATATATGGTTGGTGGCAGGATGGAAAACTAGGCTACTTTCCAGACTGTGTTTCCAAATAATTGTTTGTTTGCATATGCTGATAACCATGCCAAGGAGAAAAACTAATTGCACAACCCCTAAAAAACTTGACCTTAGAAAGCTTGCAAATGAAGAGCACTGCAGAAGACTGGCTGAAACTGTGTCATCTGCAGTAAATGGTGCAAAAGTCAAAACAGTAGTAGGATCAGAGAACATTGAAGAACAATGGCAAGCACTGAAGAAGGCAGTCTATTCTGCAGCAGAAATTACCTTAGGTCACCCACAGCGTAGGACACCTGACTGATGGGGATACAAGCTATAGTTCTAGGGGAGAAGCTCTGGGCAAACTCCTCCACTGAGTTTATAAAAACGATATTAAAAGTACTTGCTAAGTCATGATCGTATGTTCACTGATCTTTATTTAGTCCAGTTAGTCTATTGAGATTTTTCCAGACAAGTTTTCCATTTTCCCTGGCATCATAAATAATGCTATAAAAAACTCAGCTTTAGCCTTCTTTATATTCCTTACTACCTTATTTCTGTGATAGGCAGGCTTTTGGCTTAGTAAGGCCACAGTCGGTTGCAGCCTCTCAGTGAAGCTCCACCCCCCTGTCTCTCTAGAAGCAGGCACACACCTGTGCCGCTTTAAGAGTTGATTTATAGAGAACACTCAGGATCTCTCTGTAGGCATTGTGTTCCAGTGTGGCTAGGTGAACTGACCTCAGAGTCTCCAGTATACAGTGTGGACTCTCTAGTCCAGCAGACAGAAGCTTCACTCCTGAATCCTCCAGCTCACGGTTGTTACTCAGGTCCAGCTCTCTCAGATGGGAGGGGATGGACTTCAGAGCTGAGGCCACAACTTCACAGTGAGTCTCTGAGAGTCCACAGCCAGAAAGTCTGTCAGAACAAATCGATTATAAAAGAAACGTTATATTTACTCAATGCATTTGATGACCGGTGTGCCCCAGTGTTCACGAGAAAGAGTGAGCAGCGAGGAGGTGCTGCATGAATATATGCTCCTCAATATAGTTCCTCAATGAAATATGATTTTAAATATACCTATTAAAAAAAATATAAATATGTGGAGGTCAGCGTTCATAATTATCCAAATTATAGGTTAATTATGGGAAACACTGCTTTCACTATCCAATGAAGGTTAAAGTCAAGGGCAACTGGACTTGGTTGAAGATACTGGAAGACATTTCGTCCCTCATCCAAAGGACTTCTTCAGTTCTGACTGACTGGCAGGGAAAATCTATTTCTATCTAGCTATTTAACCTCAGTGGGCCAGGCTCATCGATACTGCTGGTTCATTAGTGTTCCTGGTTGCTGTAACGACATTCGGACAGAAACATTTTGGCAGAGGCGAATGCAAACGTGCAGCGCCGAAAACGACCAATAACTGCCAGGTATTAGTGGGATTCAAGGCAGTTTACAGGGACAAAAATCACACTTTTCATGCAGTGATCGGTGATCAGTAACATATTGTCAACATAAAAACACAACATTGATCTTTGCTGTGTAAAAGTAGTCTGAATTCTACCATTCTGCTCATACACTTATCAGACCTGTTATTGGTGGAAGTTGTGCGTTTCCTGCTGCTACTTCTACACCAACAAGAGTTTTTTCTAATATAACAGAATATATGGAAAGACACTAATATATATATTCACTCTTAAAAATTTTAAGTTTAACTAATAAGAATTAAAGCACACCCTTGCTTAATTGAATACACATTTACACACATGTTCTGGTATAACCAATAATCCGAAGACTATTAATCTATGTTCCAGCATGTACATCATTTTGCATTTAGCAACAGTCACTTACTCACTTCATCAAACAAGAGAGCAGAGAGCGGAAATACAGAAGCCACACCACAAGATGCTGTGGTGTATAACATATGTGCATTTGACCATTACAAAAAAACCATTTAAAATAACACTCTAGTAGCTGGACAGAGGTTCAGTGAACTCTGGATAGAGGCTCAGTGGACCCTTAAGGGGAAGTAATGATTGATGGGTGTGCAAAGAGTGAACCCTCCTATGGAATTTGACCTCTGACCCAGTGGTAGGGGGAGTAGAGATTAGTGTCTATGAAGGGACTTTGCCCTTATATGGTATTTAGCAGAGACCTAAACATGTCCTATATAAGTTGTGTTCGATGTACAGAGAGACAGAGTGGCCATCGGGCTGGGTCACTCTCCAAGCTGCTGCAGAGCTTGTAATTGATGCTGAATTCTTTGATGTAATAAACTTTTATAATCAAGAACAGTGTCAAGCGGATTTCTTCTCAACACATCATCGCAGCATTATCGTTCGGACACCACAATGCAAACTACTCATCAGCAGGAATAATCGGAAGGCCAAATTGAAATTTGCAAAGAAGTACAGACATGAGCTGCAAAAGTTCTGGAACACAATCTTATGGACTGATGAGACCAAGATTAATCTCTAGCAAAGTGTGGAGAAAGAAAGGAACTCCTTCTGATCAGAAGCATACAAGCTCATCTGTGAAGCAAGGTGGAGGTAATGTCATGGCTCATTAATATTTGTTGATGATGTAACGGATGATGGTAGCAGCAGAATGAATTCAGAAGTGGACAGAAACATTTTGTCTGCCAGTTTACAGAGAAATGAAATTGTGAGGAAGTTTATCATGAGGCAGTACAATGACCCAAAGCACACTGCCAACTAAACAAAGGACTAATTCAGGGAAAAAAGTGGAAGGTTTTAGACTGGCCAAGTCAATCAGCTGACCTTAACCCAATAGAGCTGCATTTCACCTCCTTAAGAGGAGACTGAACAAACAAGAACTGAAAGAAGCTGCGTTAAAAGCCTGGAATAGCATCACAAATGAAGAATGCAACAGTTTGGTGATGTCGATGGGTCGCAGGCTTGAGGCAGTTATTGCAAGCAAGGGTTATGCCACCAAATATTAAATGTTATTTACTTTAAGATTATTTGTTCCAATACTTTTGCTCACTTGAAAAATGGGTGGGTTCGAACAAAGGGTGGGATGTCCTGAGTTGTTTAACCCATCTAGATGTGAATACCAGGAAATGAAAGCTGAAATTCTGAACTCTTGTCTCATATTTTGATCTTAAACCCAAATGTCTGCAGTGAACAACAAAAACAAAGGAATCTGCCTTACCGTTCCAATACTTTTGGAGGGGACTGTATTTGATGTAAAAGGAGGCGAGGAATATCCAGACATTTCCATCCTCATTATAACTGACTTTGGAAAATTAAACATGTTATTTTGAACCCCTGAGCTTATTGGTTAAAACAAACAAAAACAATATTAAAATGCTGCTTGTCACAGATTTGGACAAGTCAACTGAATTTTGGAAGCTCACTGATGAAGACCTTCTAGATAGAAATGTTGCATCATTATATTTTGGGAAATCTTTGCGCAAATAATCCACCTTCACATTCAAGAATTTTCTATCTTTAATATGATACTGATGAAGTCACAGTATGAAGGTCCTGTAAGGGTGTTAATTGTTAATTTTTACATCTGGACTTACCGAGCCTTTCTGCAGTTCCTCACAGCTGGAATCAGTCTCTGTCGTCCCTGGTCTGATGTGTTGTACTTCTTCAGGTCCAACTCATCCAGAACCTCCTCTGACATCTGCAGCATGTAGGCCAGAGCTGAGCAGTGGATCACAGAGAGTTTCTTCTCTGATCTGTTCTCTGACTTCAGGAACTCTTGGATCTCCTGATTTACTGAGTGGTCGTTCATCTCCGTCAGACAGTGTAAGATGTTGATGCTTCTGTCAGGAGAGATCCAGTTCAAGCACGTGTTCATCTTCTTCAGGTTGTTGATGACTCGCTGGATGATTTCTGGACTGTTGTCTGTCTGACCCAGCAGGCCTCCTAAGAGTCTCTGATTGGACTCCAGAGAGAGGCCATGAAGGAAGCGAACAAACAGGTCCAGGTGGCCATTTTTACTTTGAAAGGATTTCTCCATGGCACTCCTCAGAAATTCGTCCAGGTTTGGGGTTATAAAAATGTATGCGAAGAATATTAAGTTTTTCAGTCCCTCTGGGTTCCTGCTGGTGTAACAGTGGAACATGTAGACTGCAGCCAGAAACTCCTGAACGCTCAGATGAACAAAGCAGTAGACTGTTTTCTGGAAGATCACACTCTCTCTTTTGAAGATCTCTGTACAAACTCCTGAGTACACCGAGGCCTCTGTGACATCAAGACCACACTGCTCCAGGTCTTCTTGGTAGAACATGATGTTTCCTTTCTCCAGCTGTTCAAACGCCAGCCTCCCCAGCTTCAGAAGAACCTCCCTGTCAGCCTCCGTCAGCTCCTGTGGACTCATCTCATGTCCCTCATCGTACTTCTGCTTCTTCCTCTTTATCTGAACCAGCAGGAAGTGTGAGTACAGGTCAGTCAGGGTCTTGGGCAGCTCTCCTCTCTGCTCTGTAGTCAACATGTGCTCCAGAACTGTAGCAGTGATCCAGCAGAAGACTGGGATTAGACACATGATGTGGAGGCTCCTGGAGGTCTTGATGTGTGAGATGATTCTGCTGGACAGCTCTTCATCACTGACTCTCCTCCTGAAGTACTCCTCCTTCTGGGCGTCAGTGAAGCCTCGTACTTCTGTTACCCTGTCAACACACGAAGGAGGGATCCGATTGGCCGCCGCAGGTCGGGAAGTTATCCAGACGAGAGCCGAGGGAAGCAGATTCCCCTCGATGAGGTTTGTCAGCAGCAGGTTGACTGATGACTTCTGTGTGACATCAGACACAACCTCACTGTTGTGGAAATCCAATGAAAGTCTGCTTTCATCCAGGCCGTCAAAGATGAACAACAGTTTCCAGACGGCGAGCTTCTCTGCTGGGACCTTCTGTAATGTTGGATGGAAAACATGGAGCAGCGTGAGGAGACTGTACTGCTCATCTTTGATCAAGTTCAGCTCCCTGAACGAGAGCAGAACCAGCAGACCGACATCTTGGTTTTCCGAGCCCTCTGCCCAGTCCAGAGTGAACTTCTGCACTGAGAAGGTTTTTCCAACGCCAGCGACGCCGTTGGTCAGAACCACTCTGATGGCTCTCTGTTGGCCAGGTAAGGCTTTAAAGATGTCCTGGCACCTGATTGGAGTGTCATGGAGGGTCTTCTTCTTGGAAGCTGTCTCAAGCTGCCTCACCTCATGCTGGGTATTAACCTCTTCACTCTGTCCCTCTGTGATGTAGAGCTCAGTGTAGATCCTGTTGAGGAGGGTTCCACTTCCTGTTTCATCACTTCCTTCAGTCACACGTTCACATCTCCTCCTCAGACTGATCTTATGTTCATCTAAAACCTCCTGCAGACCACCTCTCACTAAAGAAGAGAAACAATGTGAGATAAAACAAAGAATATGTGCTGATTATTTTCATTACTAATATAAAAACCATCAATATCAGAATATCTGAAGAAGCAGACAGATGTCCAGTCTTACTTTGTACAGAGCTGCTCTGACTGGCTGTCTGCAGTCCAGCTCTGGTTCTGGATCTTACCTCCACACTTAGGACAGGAGGAGTGTCCTGATGAAGCAGACTGGTCCCAGTATGAGGTGATGCACCGTCTGCAGAACCAGTGTCCACAGCTGGTAGAGACTGGATCCTTCAGGACGTCCTGACACAAAGCACAGCAGGACGGCTGCTCCTCCACAGGAACAGGACTCCTCTTCCTCTCTCTGTGAAGACATTTCTTTAGAACTAAAATGATTTGTTGCTTGTTGTTGAAAAATCTCCAGATGTGTCCGACACTGTGTAGAAGCTCAGATGGTCACAGAGTAAAAGTGTCGTTACTTTTCTGTTTGAATTCAGCTTTCAGTCAGTAATGAAGATGATTGTTCCTTTTATTTCAGCTCTCCTGCTCTCAGAAACACTAATTAACTGCTTTTCCTGTCTGACTGTCTGATTAAACATTTAGTGATCTGCCTGCAGTTTGTTATTAACACAAACTCAACACTTCCTGCAGCTCCTTCACAGTAAAAGCCTCCATTAAAGAGAGCTGATTATGTCCTTCACTGTTTTACAGTCACTCTGGGCAGCTTAGCTTGAGTTAGTTAGCTTTGAACTGAGCTTAGAAGTGGTCTAAACACACAGCATGTAACAGCGGTGTCACAGGTTCAAGTCCACACGGAGCCTTGTTTGGATGTCATTCTGTTTCCTGTCACTCTCTACTGTCAACTATCACATGAAAACTATTCAAATATTGTAAAAAGAGAAGTGGTCCAATTTTCTGCCCTTTTTCCATCCACTGCTAACTTTTCCATCAGTGCTGCCCGTGGATGTTTGTTCTTCACCTTTAGGAACAATATATGGTGGAGAGAATCTGAGCTCAAAGCTCCACTTACTAATGATTCAAAGCAAAGTGTTCATCAAGGTGAGCAAAGCTGAACTACAAATGCTTTTTCACCACATGTTGCACAATTATGATCTGAAGTGATTCAAGATGCATCTGGTGGATCAGAACAGCTGATCTGAGGAAGAGCCAAACAGCTCAGTGTTTAGAGGACAAATAGGAGAAAATGAAGGACACATTTGAAGCAGATTCTTTCAGATTCTGAATCCTTCTAAATCTTTACAGTGACGTCAACGTGAGGGCAAAAATATATGAAGATGTTCTTGAAGTGTAAATTCTGAAATGGAGGTTCTCAGGTGTTTTGCTCCAGAAATCAAATCAGATCCATCTTAGTTTGAAACAGTATCTGCACTAATAGTTCTGCATCAGGAATATAAATCTGTTAGCAGAACATTTTGTCTTCATCCTCAATGCATCATCTTCCATCAGGTCAGTTTACAGTAAAAACAGTCTCTTACTTTGAGTCTGAGGGTCCAGGTTCAGGACTGAACCCTGGAGGTTTATCTTTGGACCGGTCACCCTTCATAGACAGACAGCTGGATCCTGCAGACTCTGCTCCGTCCTCCTCTTCCTCCACACAAACACTCATCTTCTGGACTTCAGTCAGTCTGAGAGGTAAAACAGAAAAACTGACTGTGAGCTCAGAACACAAGAATCAGGAGAAACAAGTTTGTACATGAGTCACACACAAACACACAGTATAATTTAACCAGCCTGAACTTTACCTGCAACAGTCACAAGTCTGAGAAAACAGGAAGTAACAGACAGACAGACAGACACATTTAGGTATCTCTTTAAAATAACGCCTTCCCCAGCCCCTTACTCTAAACTAAATCTAATTGTAACTTGAAAGCTGAAACATATTCTGAACCCTCAAAAATCAGTTTCTACCCACATGGACACGAGTCCTCATGGGTTAGAGTGCATTTAGGAAAAAGTCCCCAACAAGATATGAGAACATGAAACACACACAAAGTGCTGAGTCCCTCTAAGGTTTCTTTCCTCTCCAGTCCACAGGGAAAAAACTGCCTCAGAGACTTTGACAGTAACATAATAAAATGTTGGATTAACACTCACCTGCCTCAGCCTTCAGTTCTCCTCCTTTTGCTTTGTGACTCTAAATGGAGTCTGAACTGACTGAACTCTTTCAGCTTCAGGTTCCTACCTGTTCTCACCTGCTCGGTGTAGCTCCGTCCCTCTGCAGTTACAGGAAATCAGCTAAGTTCCTTTGTATGTGTGTGATTCATGTTTTTATATCCTGGTGGGGACCTAAATCTTAATGTTAATATGGGGACAAAAAAACAAGACTTGGTTTTAGGATTAAGATTATGATTAGGTTAAGGTAGATGTGATGGTCCAATCCAACAAATCAGCTGTGACAATAACAGCCAATAAATAATAATGTAACACTGACAGGTTTCATTCTGCAGCAGAATGAGGAGGCCGACTTTTCCTTTGGATCCTTCAGCTACATTTTACTGCTGATACTTCTGTTCTTTAATTAAGATTTGAATTTGAAATGAATACTTTTTACATTGTTGTATTCAGATCTATGATTTAAGTTAAAGATCTGATTATGTTTTATTATTTGGCTTCTAAACATCTTCATTATAAGACAAAGACGACAACATCAGAGTCTCTTTGTTTATTTTACATGAAACAAATAAACAATAAACAGTAAACATGTTGTTGTGTGGAAAGAAAAGAGCCGACAGGAACATTAAGAGAGAAATCTAACTTTCTGATCTTGGTTCATGTCTTCCACATTGAGTAAGGAGCTGCCCAGCTGCCATCTTTGTTTTGATGAGGACAAAGAAGAAAAATGAGACTTGGAGCAAAAGTTATCAGAAGAGTTGTGAAAGTCCAGACTTCTTTCCTTCATCCGGACCTTTACTTTGAAAGTGTTGTTCCTCACCTGATAAAAGAAGTGTGAAAAGTGAGCGGACACGTTTTAAACTTTGTTAAATGTGTCACTGCGCTGACAGGACTCACATTTCTCACATTAACTGGCTCCAGAAACTTTAATTAGCTTTGTTGGTCAAAGTCTAATTCAGGTTTGTTAAGCTAGCTGCTCACTGGAAAGTTTCAGGCTTCTTCCTCTTACAATCATTTAGCAATATATCAATATATCAATATATCAATGTATATAAAGAGCTTTCTAACTGCTGATTAAAATGTGAACAGGCCAAATAATCCCAGCTCATAATCAGCATCATGTTTATCGGCCGGTTTCTCCACAAATCTCTCTAAATAAAGATGAAATAAGGGATCAATGATTGTGTGTGAGAAACATTAACAGCCAGTTATTTCCCAGGAATCCTTTCAGTCAATAACTTCCAATCACACTCATTGATAAGACACAGTGAGGCAACAAAGCTGTCGGAGGTTCAGAAGAAGCTGTTAATGGTGAATTATTGTGAGCAAACAGCAACAGGCTCAAAGAGTTTCACCATCTTTAGCTGCTTCACTCAGTAAAGTGGCATTGAACCTGATCAATACTATCTAAGCCAGTACTGATTGGACCAGGTTTGGCCCCACTTACCCGAGCCATTGAGAGTCCCAGTGTCAGGATATGTAGATGTGTTGTTCTCCACTGGTCATACTGGTAAACGTTACTGGTTCTTCCCTTTGTGTTGCTCAGCAGTTACCTTGTTTAGCTGCTACTCAAACATCAGAATTGATTCTCAACAATATTAATATTAATAATGATGTCAGCGCTTCCTGAAGCTGCACTGCTCCACTCTCTGTTGTTATGTTTGGATCATCCTGCTGTTCGCACTGATGCAGCACATTTACTCAAGTACTGCGCTCAAGTACGCTGTTGACGTACTTGTACTTCACTTCAGAGGGAAATGTACTGCAGTACAAGTACAAGTACACGTAACTCTTCACTGCGCTACATTTATTTGACACTTACACTTACTTTGACATAAAAACACACATGATGTGCTTTTATAATACGATGCAGTACTTTACTACTAATGTACCTCGTAGTACACAAAGTATCTGAAACGACAGCATTAAAATACTCTTAAAATACTCATGTATTTGTTATTGACACAAACAGAGTAATATAATATTCTATAATAATATAACTAAAAATTTAGCTGATAATACTTTAAGGACTTTTCCTTGTACTGCAGTATTTTTGTCCCTGTGAGTACTTCTTCCAGCTCTGCTGCTCCTCTACATATATGAAAGTAATGTCAGAGTGATGTATGTATTTTAGATTCTGCATGTTTCACTTAGTGTCTAATAAAGCAGCAGCATGTTATTATTGACTCCAGATTTCTATCAACATTAATATTCATGTCATTCTGTGTGGCTCTTGTATTCTGAGCCTCTGTGCTGCAGCTTTTAAATACCTGCCAGTGTAGTATAATGGAGTCCTGGATGCTGCTTTTTACTCACATTAATATTCTGCCTGCTTAGAAATGATCTCAGTCACTTTGTGCTTTGAATCTTAGATTGTGTTTTTAGAGAGACTCTGTAACGTGTGTCCAGACTCCGGATGAAGTTTCCCAGCAGCTCTTGAATAAAAGCCCGTGAATGTAAAATGTATTTAAAACCTTTACTGTACAACACTCACTGCAACAACATGAATGTGACAACAACATAAAGCTGACGAGTGTTTGGAGTCTCTGCAGCTTCATCTTCAGAGAAATGAAGTGAAACCAAGAAGGAAGGAGATGAATGTAAAAGCTGTGATTCCTTCTTTAGCATCCTGTCAGTAAACTCAGGTTCAGCCTCATGTTGTTCTCACAGTGTTAATAACGAGCCTCTGCTGATTTCAGAGGATTTCTGTGGACCTGAAACATCCCAGAGGAGCCCACATCATCCAGGAGGTAGGACTCACTCCCAGCAGCAACCTGTCCGATGGCTTCGTGTAGCGCTGGCTGGCTCTGACGTTTTCACTACTAATGCAGGTCCAACACCTGAGCGGCGGCTCGGATACCAAATTATAGAAATCTGTTTTTCTATAAAGCCTTTTTTTGACTGAACTAAACAGAAGCAGCCGTACAAGAAGGGAAATCAATGGCAGTGTGAAACTGGTCTGAAACTGGACACATGATGGTTTAAAGCCTTAAAATTTAAAGCCTCGGAAGTGATTGATTAATAGAACCTGAGCTGGATTCTGGAGGCAGTGGGAAGCCAATGAAGGGAAGCTCAAACTGGGCTGATGTGTCTTCCAGTTAAAGCCCAGCAGCTGCATGTTGGACCAGCTGCTCACCCATAGAGGACTCAAAGCTCCTTCAGACCTGATGAACATCACAGGTGGAGGTGGGCAATCAAATCTTCACTGTGATGATGTAACTGGTGGTTCTGGACGGCGTTTAAACCCTGGAGAAGTGACAGGATCTGATCTGTAGTAGACATGGACCTTCAGCAGGACAAAGCCAGAAGAGAGTCTCAGCAGCGACCTGTAGCTGTCATTACAACAGCACACCTGATGAGCTTTTACAGGCTCTCGCTCTCCTCAGGACTTTTCTCCATCCTAGGCCCATATGTTGATGTCAGCATGTTTCCATCTGTCAGATAAGCAGCAACATGTTGGACTTCCTGCATTTGAACACAAAAGTCAAACTTCACAGCGAGCTGATAAAATGCAGTAGAAGGAAAACACTCAGAGATCCACTTTAAACTACAAGGCCGGGATTTAAATGACTACTTTGTTCAGCGTCACCTCCAAACCTCTCAGTCATGGATGCTGCAGCATTGGACCGTCAACCATCTGCTGTCAAGTCTCCACCATCAGGTACAGCTGTCTGCAGAAACTGGAACAAGGTGACTACTGCTGGGATGAAAGTTCATCATCTGGGTTTAACTTCAGTGTCTAAGTTTCTACCATGTTGGGAACAGAACAGTTTGATGAAGCCCTACACGCACCAGCACAAGATGAGGAGTCAACAAGAAGGGGATTCATTAGTGACGAGGACAAAGAAAATCCAGGCCGGATGTCTGACAGCAACAAACTAAAGCTCACATTCCCGACACAAGAAGCAGAAGAGGAGGATGCGGGAATCAGCTCTGATGAACAAGAGGACAAAGCTCATGAGACGATGGAGGAAACCGATGAACCTACAGAGCATCTGTCACAGCCTCCACCGCCACAAGCTGGCAACATTTAGAAAGCAGCCACATGTTAGAGGATTGAAAATCTCACCTGTCACATTAAACATGGAGCCAGAGACGGAAGAGTCGTCTATATGGAGCCCCTTTGTTTTACTACCAGATAGTTTTACAGACAGACGTGAAAAGATCTGAACAAAGAAGGTCTTAAAAACACTAACGGCAGTTTTAGACACCGCTCTAGATCTTCATCCAGAACCTGAGGAGATTCTTGGTGACGTCGAAGCGACGCTCACCGATCTTTTAGCGGAACCCAACACTGAACAGAGAACTGAAATCCAAGAAGCTCTCCTAAAGAACACAGATGGATCTGTCATTATCGATGCTGCGTATCTCTGGCAACAATCACTGGAGAAAGTAAAATGTGTGCTGATGTTAACAGGAAGAGGTTTTCATACAAGTGAGGCGTCTCCAGAGGGACCATGGCGGTCTACACGGACCCCCTTTGTCTCACTACGAGGCTCGTTTGCAGACATATGTGAACAGATATAAACAAAGAAGTTCTTCCAAACCTTCAGGGCAGTTTGAGGTTTCTTGGCGTCGTTGAAGCAGCACTTACTACCAGAGTCCAACACTGAACAAAGAGCAGCTGAAGATTGAAGAAGCTCTCAGGAAGAATCCAGATATTTCTCTCATTCTGGACGCTGTGTGTCTGGTAGCATCCCTGGAGAGAAAAACTCTGCAAATCATCTGAAGGATTTTTATTTTAGCTGCTGAGTTTCCAATAAAAACGTGTGCTGATGTTAAAAGAAAGATATTTGACTCCATCATTTGTGATTAGACATTTTAACTTTATATCTGATGTGCTGTTTAAACTGATTGATTTTAGTACACTTCAGGCTTTCTGGGTACTCAGCCTGGAGGATATACTGCAAGTACAAGTACATGAGTGTATCAGGGCAGCACTCAGTCCGCTGAAAACAAAAGTCTAGTCAAAGTGAAAGATGCTTTTCTTTTGCTGAGTTCTCAAAGAAAAGTTGCTGTTTAAAGATTTCTGACAGACAGAAGTTCATCAACATGCTGCTGTCTGGTTTTACTGAGAACCAGCCGCCAGTTTATGTCA